GGTTGTGGGGCCTCCTGCGCCCCGACCAGAAACTGCGCCCCGAGCTCGCCGCACGGCCCAGGGCGCGCCGCGTTGCCCCTCGGCAGCGGACAACAAGGCCTGCACCCGTGCGCCAACGAATCAGCGTTAGCAGAGAACCTGGTGCATTGGACTCTTAACGATTCATGAGGCTTTACAACAAATTATTCCATATGACCTGCACTTATTTAAATATTAAATGTTTTGTTCTTAAGTGTGCAGGTAATGTAGAACAGTTGTTACAAGAGACGAGTTACCAACGAGAATGAAGATCACTGGAATTGTATGTAAAAGAAGAACCATCACATCAATTGTTTTAAATAATATCAATCTCAAATGTGATTATACATTCGTATTTATCTTACATTGTAGATAAATAAATCATTGATATTATTAGTTCTTTGTTAATCACGCTTGCAGACACCTTGAAGTATTTTCAAAACATCTTAAATGAAATGTGATTGTAATATATTTCTCCGTATTTTGTCCTAAAAAGGAGAAAATTCGAAAATTCCATTTCGACAATATAGAAAAGGAAAAGATGCTATGTTTCCGGATGTCCGTCAGTATCTCATGTCGCGGATCTGCATCCAGAGATGACACTGGTGAAATTCCATGGAGATGCTGATCTGGCGTTGCAGCGGTGAGCTGTAGTCGTGAGAGTTTCATAAAGAGGCTTCGGCGATGAGTTGATACGAGGCGTAATTTTAATGAGAGTTAACTGCCCCCGCGAGGTGCGAACGATGCAGGAACTTCCTTCGAGGTGCCGCCAGCGCTCAGCTACGTCGCTCATTAACAAATTAGACTGCCAACGGCGTCGTTCACAAGTGGTAGGCAGGATAGAAACCTTTACCGTTGTAGCGCAGATCTTATCGGCCCATCCATATAGATACTAGATTTGATGGCAACGCCTAGAGTATTCAGCGCAGAAAAGTCTCCTCATTCTCAGATGCTTACAATGTTATTAAGGATATTCATTTTATTTTCCATTTTCTTTGTTTTTCAATTGTGTACGTATGTTTCAAAACCTGCATGTTATGGCATAATTGTTTTCAAAAACTTTAACGCAGATATAGTCTATATCACGCTTATAAAACTTATTGACAAATAGTTGCTTAATCAGAAGTTCAGAGCAATCACCTCTTATCGGACTGTGCAGATACAATAAGCGATCCCTTGTAAGTGACATCTGCAGGACGAAGATACGCTGTGTAAGCAGGCTACATTCTCTACACATATCGAGTTACTCAATTTTACAATAAGGGTATTATAACATTTTCTTTAAAAACTCTGAATTATCTAAAATGTTGAAAGGTGTCATGCATATAATTATTCACATTATGAATATATGATTTAAACATTCCATTATAAATAAACGTTTATGAAAAATGTCTAGTGAGCATTTCTCTCACATTAACCCTGTTTTGATTGTTAATATTGTTTCAGTAATATTTTTCGAAATATAATTTTGAAGTTACCATTATTGCAAGTACAATTAGCAATTATAGATTCAACATGTAACTGTGACTTGCTAATGACTTGAACATATTGGGATACAATTTCAAAATGCTTAAAGTGTTATTTTTAAAAAATAACTACCTTTTTTATTTTTGAAGTTTTACCGTTAAGTACGTTACAGATATCAACCAATCGCTACCAACTGCTTCAAACTTACTGAAATAATATATGGCTTCAACGTGCATTGCCAGCGCAGTTATGGCGGAGTCACGGGATCATATAATCCACGTATAAGAACCTATCGATTTAGCAATCACACTACAAATTTATTGACATTTATCCAGGAATATTTGATATTATTTATTAGTAATACAAGCTAGATGTTTGATAAGCGGTTCTGGACTGAACTACAATTGAATAGTTTATTTTTCCATGCCTTTCGCATAGTTCCCTTGTTCCATTTCTATCGTGACAAAGAGTGGATAGTAATTTTTTCTGTGGTACATCTAAAAGAAATCACAAAGTTCACGCACATATCTCACGTTCACGTATCATTCATATATTTTTCTGTCTTATTTCGATTTTACTAGTCCTCCATCTCACAAATGTATCGTGTATGATTTACATCTGTCATATATCGTACGAGTTCTTGTAGCATTTTGTGCACAACGGTGCACATCTGTTCACCTTCATGCATTCGTGAATTCTTTTGGGGCGCCTCGCGCGAGGCAACAATTGACGACCTTGGCGCGCACCTCGCGCAGGGTGAAGGAGGCCGGAAGCGGCGCCAGACGCCGCGCAGCACCTCGCGAAGGCCTCCACGAAGTGCGCGAAAACCGCCTGAATCCCGACGGCGCTCAAATGCCGCTTCCTTGGCCCACTTGGATCAACACCCTGAAACGTCACTGACATATTACCAATCGCTTATGGAAACTGTTTACATTAACTTCAAGTAGTGACTGATTTGTTTCTTCAGCACAATATTCTTATTACGCAGTGAGTCTTGCAGGTGAAAATACTGACCCCTGTGCTGTTCCACTTAACATTTCCAATAAATAATTACTATAACTATTCGGTCAGAAGCGTGGGTACTGAAAAAAGATCCTTAATATATTTTTGGATGTCATCCTGTAACTTACCTGCAACACATAGGGCTGTCTCTACGTCCCGTGAACAGTTCGCGTACGAGTCTTCTGATACAGGTGGCCTTTTTTCAAGACTCGGTATTCGTCGATTTTTTTCCTCAAGAAAGTGGAATTTCTTTCCGAGCTTATCGCTATGCTTATATGTCATGTGCGAAATGCTTATCGGTATCCTTACCGATTTTACTCATTTACTCTAAGCACAAGCTTTTGCCTGTTATTAGGTTTTGCTGGAACAAATGGTTTCCCAACAAAATAATAATGTAAAATAATGTATCACGTATAGAAAACGATATTTTTGCCATTGAAATGACTCATCGTTGAATGTATATAATTTCGTCACCTCTATTGTGCGCAGATATATTGTCACCTAGGAATTCAATGTTAACTTCATTTTTATTGCATAAAATAAAGACCCTGTCATTTAAATGGAAAACTTTACCTTTAGTGGCCAAAATAAAGAATTCGAATTTTATCTTAATTTGTCTCAAATATTGAATTCTGCGTATTGGTGATGCTCTTATCAATGTTTGTTAATCCATTTCTGGCCATTGTCTAGTAATCTTTGTAACCTGACCATTATTACTTTTCAGCGAGTATTTAGAAAAAATGTGTACTCAGGAGGAGTCGGTTGTCACTAAGGAGAAGTGTCACAGTGGGCGAACAGTGGTCATCTGCGCCCAAATAGTAGCTACTAGTTACTACATTCTGAATAGCTTGTGGTCTAAATAGGTCTCTTTTCGTTACCTTCTATCCCCCAAAATTTTCTTCTCCATTCTCACAACTTCCTCTTCATTATATTTGTGAATATTTTTTTTCTTCATCGTCAACTAGCCATTCTTTAATGACATTGAGGTATCATGAAAATGAATGGTAGGAAAATGAAGTTGCGGAATTGAGGGTCGGCTACTGTTTCAGGAACTTTCAGAGATAAAAAAGTACGTCATTGATCGAACTCAGCTGCAGGGCAGTGCAGCTCAGAGCTGCTCCATTTCTCTCTTCTGCGAGATGTCAATCTCAGGAAAGGCCACGCCTCGTCCTTGAGAGGCCACTCGAGTTCCATCAGCAGCAGTTTCAGTTTTTGGTGTACTTTTCCGATCTCTTCAAATTATCCAGGCCCTGGCCAAGATTCAAAAAAGTATTTCTGGGTTGAGGAACAATTTAAATTTGTAAAAACAAAGGTTTTAATGGTCCGTCTCGTCTACACGACGGTAGATAATTATTGTACATTATGATTGATATGGGAGAAAGATGGTAGAATGTCTAATTTGTTTAAATTAATTCAGATACAACTGAAGTATTATCATCACCTCCATTAGTCTACGTACGAGAGTCAGGTGAAATTCTCGAGAGAAAGAAACGGCAATTTAGTTCCATCCTGATGTCATGATTGAACGTTCACTTTGGGTATTCTTAATGTTATTCACATTATTAGAACTGAACTTGTCCCTTTGTATCCAAGCTTGAAATAGCGAAGGGTTAGATCGTCTTCCTAAGTCCGTGACTCGCAGTGACAGTTCCTTATGCGAAACTTCTGCTCGCTTTTATTTGTCAACTGTATGGTCCCAGCCATGGAAAGTTGAGTAGTAAAATAACAAGATCGCTACATTAATAACAGTATAATCTTTAACGTCAAATGAATTAAAACAGTTTTACGTATCATTGACTCCTTAATGTTAGAGCGCTGTAAACATGATCTGCATCTTTTTACCATATGTCGTCTGCTAAAACTTCCCTTCCGGCAGCGGCTGAATTGGAACTAGTACCTAGCTGGTGTCGAAATCGTGCCATCGTAGGATCCTAGAATTGGAACCCTAGCCTTGCATTGGCATCAATCGATTCCCTGTGCCTCCTCCGTCAATGCCTGAGGAAGGCTTGACAAGCCTTGCCCTCCAGTTAAAGAGTCGGGCTCGCTGCAGGCTTTCGCGGTGCCCTGACGAGCGGCCGTGCTGGCCCGTGCTTGACGCGCGCGTGTGTGCGCAGGTGCTCGTCGCCGGGCGACGCGGACAGCTGCCAGATGCTCAGCCGCAAGAAGCGGCGCGGCATCATCGAGAAGCGGCGCCGCGACCGCATCAACACGAGCCTCACGGAGCTGCGCCGCCTCGTACCGTCCGCCTACGAGAAGCAGGGCTCCGCCAAGCTGGAGAAGGCCGAGATCCTGCAGCTGACCGTCGACCACCTCAAGGTGCTGCACGCCAAAGGTAAGCGCTCTCTGCCAGGCGGAAACGCACCCGCCAAACAAACGTACTTCACTTCGTTGCTAATCGGTTAGCAGGAAAGGGCGACAAACAAAAAATAAACAGAAACGTAAGAAAATGACGAATATTTGGGATCAAACTGTAAATACGTTGGGAAGGGTCTAAGTTCATTTTACGAGGCAGACTTGAAGGCAGGAAATTACAAGGACAATAAAGTAGTTTGTTAGGAGAACAGAGAGAGTCAAATATAAGGGTTACACCGCATTTGCAATAGCAGAATACTGTCATCTGTTACATTTCATCAGGAATGCAGTTTATAGAGACAAACGTATTTAGGTCGCGAGATAATTACGCATTAGTGTGATATATAATCTTTACGCAATGGATCAATAAATGAAGTTAATAAAGGCAATGAGACTTGTTGAACACCACCGTTGGGTCCTAACAGGAGATATTTTGCATGTTTGTTTTATTTAGAGTCATTTGTTGCCGAATCTCAAATCATCGTATTCCATTCTGAGTGTTTCCGTTCCACAAACACTGCTTTTCCGCGTTAAATCTCGAGGCTTCGTCGTTCCTTATGGTTTTCAATGATTTCTTTCACTGCTCACGAAAGAACACCATTCAAACCTGCGCCGTATTCCCGCTATCAGTGTATTAATTACGAACGTAATTCCTTCGCTGGTGCGTTAGCCTGCTGCACTCCAGGAGCTTCGCTTTCCCTTATCGGTCCGGCAGCAACCACGCAACGAGCGCCGATACCGCGTTCTTGGAGACCCTGCTGCCAATGAACATCCGTGCGGCGCCTGCC